CCCTAAGTAAGGATAAAGGGAATTCACATGGGCATTAGGGATTATTTAAAGGTGAGTGGGACATTTTTATATTGCATGTGTATTTGGAATTGTCCCCCATTACCTCATGCATGGACCAAGGTTTGACCAAGGAATATTTTAATCCTAGATGCCCTGAGATATTCTCCCAAAAATCCGTGCAAGTCAGCCCAAGGAATCCGTGCACCAAGACTCCACAATGTCCCATGCGCTTGTGGATTTTGTCCCCCCACCATTGTGCCTCAATTTCTCCGCCCCTCTCACTCTACTTAAGGGACACTTCTCTGAGTTGTTAAGGCTCTTGGACACTTAGAGAACTTCAGCAAATAGAAAGAGATAGTGAGCAAAACCGAGAGCTTGGGCCTTAGTTCACCCGCGCGCGCGAGCCACGCCAAGGAGGAGGAGGCCGCGAGTTCTCTTGCTCCAGCCGGGTCTCTCAAGGCTTATCATCTTCCAAAGATTATTTTGGGTTTTTCTAAGTCTTTAGAGCTCACCTCGCTCAACCAATTAGCCCCGAAGTCGAACCTAAGGACCAAGGCCGCGAGTGAAGCCCGTGTTGAAGTCCTTAGCACCATTTCGAATTTTGAGCAAGGTAAGCTCATATTCCTCATTTTTCCCAGCTTATACATGACATTTTTAGATTTATCATGTATAAAAATGAGGCCATGCACGTGAGAATAAGAAGATATGAATTTTTGAACATTTGAGCCTTAATTTCGAAAATTCTAGCACATGCATGAAATGGCCGAGTTTGATGGCTTATAAATCCTCAAAAATCATGTATATAACATGGTTAAAAGATTAGCATGCTTTGAGTTCATATGTTCAGTCAATTTGTTAAGTGAAATCGAGTCATTTTCACCTCCGAACCTAAGTATATGTGCATGCATGTATCGACCAATGTTCTAGCCTCCTTAGCATTGATTTTAGATGTGGATTATTCGGCCCTAAGTCAATTTGCATGTTGAGCATGTTCATTTTGGTGACCTAGTGTGGCCTCGTGCCTAATCGGCCCCATAAGCCCACTTCCAAATCCCACCGAGGTCCCTCAATGAGTTTTGACATTTTTGAGTGTATTATGTCATATTATGTTGGGTTGGTTCAGTAGTCACCGGAATTAGTGGCCGGAAGTCCGGCAAGGACCGGCTAGGGTCACCGGCCGCGCCAGTCGTGCGTGCCGTGCCCGTGCCGCGTCGCAGAGGCCAGACAGTGCCTCTGTTCGTGCCCGCGCCTAGCGCTCGCGAGGCACCGCAGCCCCCAGCGCACGCGACAGCGCCCAGCAGCGCCTGTCCGTGCCA